CGTTCCTCAAATACAAATTACTCGCCGATTTTAATTTCGCTCCATTCCACGGAAGACGACAATTCAATATCTTCGATGGAGAATTATAACTTTGGTTTGACAACACCTTGTAGCCCACTTTTCCGGACATTATCCTTAATCTCTTAACAAGCTTGAGACTTGGTGGACTTTTCACGTCCCTAACAATAAGGTTTAAATTGTTGTGTTTTGGGGATAACTTTGGTTGGAAATGTAAGCGAAAGGAAGCAATTTATTCCACTTTATAGCCTTTATAGAAATCCTATACGTTTGTCCTTGAATATTCCACCTCTGCTTCTTTGTGAGTTCCTAATTTAAACGTGTATCGAAGGTACCTATGTGTGCTAATGTCAAGCGTATTTGACTCTGAGCTTTAAATAAACGCAATTTATTCATGCATGGGAGACATTAAAGCTGTGCACAAAGCTTGATTATTGGTAACACTAGGACAGGCACAAGCACACTCACAAACACGTTGAGGGTGACAACGTGGATTGCGTAATCGGAGCTCTGTGGTGTGATATGGGTTCAACGGCATGGAGATAGTTATCATTTTAATGTGTTGCGAAACAACGCATATGCAGGCTTTCAGATAAAATTTATTCCGGGTCATTAATTTCAATCCAGAGCGCATGTGATACCGAAGCTTTATTTACTTAACGTGCACTTTTTACACTCCACAAATCACGATTGAATAACTTCAGGTAAATAATACTGTTTCGAACACATCAAACGTCAAGCGAATGTGTGCGAGAAACGAAAACAACGACAAATCAAGCGTGAATGAAAGGCAAAATAATGAGCTTGATGGAACGCTGTGCAAAAGGGTGAACACGAGATAGGTCATTAATTATATAGAAGACCTAATATTTCACGTTATTTTTTGACTACTGCTAAGTTAACTTCGAAGCCGTCAGAGAAAAACCACCCGCAGCGATGATTAATTGTCTTTCCATGATAATTTTAGGCTCGACGCATGTCAAACTTTACATCATCAGCTTTTCTACTTATCATCCAAATCTAATATCTCCATAAACGTTATTATATACCGAAATAATCAAGTAATTTCGAAAATTTTAAAAATAAGCACAAACTTTTCCATTTGGAACTTTTCTTACCCGTTAGCAGTTTTTGGACTACAGCTTCGCACTTTTAATGGCTTTTCGTATTGAATCCAACCGTTTTTCCAAGTTTTCTGCTTAAAATTTTCAGGCAGTTAGCCAAAATGCGTATTTATTGCGGCATCAATCAAAAATTTGCAATATATAATATTTAAATAGTCTGTTTTTCAATATGCTCATAATGGGCAATAAAATAATTTTATAATCTTCCGGTTCGATCAACTGGATTTAACCAAAAAGAGCGCCGATGAAGAAAATTTGAAAAAAAATGCACTTGAATAAAAACGGAACGAAAATCGTTTTTTTATTTTTTAATAAATTTATGGTGGTGGTTTGTGCGCTTTGAATAGTTGACGTTATTTATTGCTGGCGATATTTCATATTTGCATCGTTTTTCGGCCCTTCAATTCGCCCTCGTCGATTATGACTGCCAATATCTGGCACGTTCATTTATCTATTGATTCCTCCTTTTTGCTTATTTGTCACTACCGACCAACTTTTATCCTAAATACACATTTAGGCTTACCTTAATTTATTTTAGAAATAATCTTATAATCTCAGCACATAACTCACGCTTCCTGGGGTAGTTTTGACACATTAATATATCCTATTATTATTGGAGGGATAATGTGTTAGTTCCGCATGCTATAAATTCTTATCTACGTTTCCATTCGCACATTTTCACTTAATACCATTGCACGGGCAGAGTGATGAAAACTCGTTCGCCAAATACCGTGACACGCTATTTTAGGGGTGGTTCTAGGGGTGTGATAATAATAAAGCACGCTAACGATGCGATAATTTAATAACCCTCGCACGCATTGCCAAAAAACAAACGAAATTATTTTTACGACCTACCGAAAGCTTTCCTTCTATCTTGTTTGTTGGTATACTACCCACACTGCACTAAAATTGACTGGTGGTAATGACAGGTTAGCCTGTCAAGCATCGATTACATCACACTTTTAAACATTAGGATATTCCTGAAAGACTACATTGTAGGTGTTCCGTTTATATGTCATCCGTAATTCGGTAATGAATGGATTAGCTGTACATTACATACATGCTGGTCATTTTTCGGCGCATGGCGCATTCGCATATGGCAATTACCATCCTTACAATGTGCGCATATTGCATTCGCAGTGGAATAGTGGACAATGCAATGTCGGGCTTTATCCGCAGTATGGCCACGCTTTGTTGAACGATGATCTAGATTAAATCTTCAGCACGACCGGAACTAGCGAACGACGCGCCGCATCCGAAACAATAGCACTCGAAAGCTCTTCGCGTTAATTAATGCGGTTCATTGTTTAGGCGCGCAATTAATACGTCAATTATTTTGTTATGTTTCAGTGCAAGCGCAGCGTGAAACAACACCCGGCGATGCATACGCATGGACGAAAATTGGAATTTTAATTAAAATTATTGAGTGGTTTATCTTGCAAGCGCGTCATCGTGTTGAGTAGGTCAGAGATAGGTATGCTAGGTATTTAATTAATATGATTATTAATAGCTTTCAAGTTTGCATTCACGTGTCAACGACATTAATATAATGTGGTGCGGGTGGAAAATTTTGAGTTCGTCGCGAAAATGGCGAGACATGACGAAGAAGAGACCTTGTGAGACAAGTTAATGCCATCATTTTGTACCAGAACGTATTCCCAAATGTGATATGAGCGTGTGCACTTTCGTTCACGATGTTATGACAATGGGGACTTTTTGGTGCATTGACATCTTTCACTAGACGCATACTCTTGTATGGAATAAAGTACTTGCAAACCCTTTTCACTTCGCGTGCGTTGCAGTTTTCATCATTGGGCTTTTTGAAAGTAGACTCTTCAATATCTTTTAAAGACAGTCTCGTTTCTGTTTGAAATAAAACAAGTAGATACACAAATTTTGTCAAAATTGTAAAGTGAATTTTAGATAATTATTTATTAACAAAAGATATAACAATTCTTATTCAAGAGGTAATAGCAATACGTGTTATATCATTCTAATCTATAGAACGTACATAGAGTTTATTTATACTGGTTGAAACTTGAAAAGAAAGGCGCGTTTTTAAATGAAATTTATTACATTTGAGATAAGCTAATGTTGGACTTGCGGTATAAATACCGAACAAGGTCGTAGTGCAGACAAATTTTGCTGGTAGTCACTTTTTTGTATTGTACAAGTTTATCTGTAGCAAGTTTTTGCTATATTGCCATGTATAAACGTCTTGCCCCATGAATTATTCAAATTGAACAAAATCTGAGAAGCGACACACCATTTGCACGGTACATTTATCATTGTGCAAAACCTCGAATGCCATGTATCGCTCGTTTGCACCTAACACACTCGTCGCGCCGCAACCAATTTGTTAACCATCAGAAATTCAAAAATATTTCTCGCAAATCACCTACGCGGAGAAAAAAACAGCATTCGAATCAGTTCGGGAAACAAATATCCCACTAACAATACATCCATCATCATTGATATCAATCCACATGATGGGAGTGATGCATCGACTGCGTTTGGCAGCCGTAGAGAATAATTCAAAATAGTGTGCAAAGCCTGAAAGCCAGTTCTGCAAATGCAAAAAGAGGTGCCGGGAACCGAATGCACACAGCACTGCAAAAACCATACTCACACGCGAATGCCTTCGACGAAAAGTACAACCGAAATGCGCTCGAGCGCAGATATAAAATGTAAAAGAGCCAATGTGCCAAAGTGCATCTAACAAACGATCAAATTATTCAAATGAGTCGCGCGCTTGCGTTTCGCCCGTTCGTACATTCGTTTATACTGCGGCTATTTCGTGCGCTCGCAGTGTTTCACCAGGAGCGTGGCAAAAAAAAACAACGCTGCTCAACAATTGAAGCTGGCAAAAAGAAAATTGCCGCCGTCCGAAGAGAATGCCAATGTTAATTTGAGTGTATGCATTCAAATTGCTTCATTAGGGAAATTATCAAGAAATTAGCTTTCGTTTTTAATGGTTTTCATCCGTAAAGACGAAGTGTTATTGTCTTTAGGCGATATATTATTTTCACACTTTTTTGGTGCTACCATAGTGGCTAAAATTACAATACAAATTTATATTTTGTGAGAAAACTGCAGTGTGTACTCTAGTATAGTAGTATGTACCCAACTGGTTGTAAAATTGACAAACGTACAAGGTTAACTGCACCAGTCGTAAACAACAAGTCGATTTTCTAATCGGTCCTTTGGTGCGCACTTTATGTGCCAATATATTGAATTTCTGTCTGGAAGTACGTACGTCCCGTCTTGTTTTTTTGAGCAATTTACTCTCGCAATTTACTTGGTACGAACCTCGCCCGGGTCGATTGTAGTAAATTCCAGACGAGACATACACCATTCATTGTTTGTCTCCTCCGATTGTCCATCGGCCGAAGCGAGTCGAACACGCATAAGTCATTGAAATGGGATTCGGGTAGGAATATTTCAGCCTCACGCGAGTGAACAACAAGACGCAGTCTCGATCTGATTATCACTCCGAAGTGCACGCGAGTATTGTCTTTGCACACAAGTTTAAATAATACCATGCAAATTTGTGCTTTTGTTTGTTTTTGCGTGTGTGTGGATGTGTATTAAGTGGATATAATTTGTTTTGTCGTTGATATTCATCCGAAAGCTTCAAAAATGGTAAAAGTTTTATTAAAAAAGAAGAAATAAGGAAATTTACCACAACAAAGTTAAAATCCTAAGCTTAAAACTTTCGGTACTGTTGGTTTAATTTGCTTATTTTTGGACGTTCAAGCGTCTACACTATCCATAATAAAGTTTGGCTATAAAGCTGTATGCTTAAGAAATAACTGTCAGATTATAAAATACAAAGAAAATTTTTCTTTCATTTTCTAGGATAAGTGAAGATTGGATCTGACACCATATTGCTGTGCAAGTAAGTTATCTCTATTTTTATTCTTATTACCCGTATAAAATGAGATGTATTCCCTGTGATCGGGTGCAATTTGTAAGACAAGAGGTGCGCACGTCGTCGTCGACGTCGCCAAGTCGACAAAGTAGAACACTAGTTTCCATGCACTCACGATCCGAGGTGGTGTGCGGTGGCGGATAGTAACGAGATGGAGTTTAATATGCGAACGCGAATGATTGACAAGAGACAAGCGACAAGACATTGCCGCAGCAAACGCTCTTTTTTCGCCAGCGAAGAACCTGACACGAACGAGACCAGATATTGAATTAACGTCAACGGCAACGCGACACTTTAATTTCATTTATTTTAAAAGTCAGCGCACATACGCCGTCGGCACGTAATATTTAAAATGGAATCATGTTGCGGGGGAAAATATAAAACAAAAAGTAGGGATTTAAATTTTTGATTGAATTAACTATTCATTCATTTTGTTTCGAATTAAAACTATAAATTATTTCACATTTGATCGCGACGCAAAACGTGGCTGAATTTTTTTTTAAGAATTTCTTCACATTCTTCATTCCCCGTGCCACGTTATGCTTCATTCTTTATTCGTTTGCTTCTTTTGCGTGCGCAGAAAGAAAAGTGTAACAAGATTACAAGAGTGTTGGGTCGTAAATATATCTTTTGAGGGGGCGCGAATGATGAAAAAAATGCCCGACAGAGAAAAAATATTACGTATTGTTGCTTGGTTGCTCCCTTTAGGCCGCGGGGAGTGGTATAAGGTGTTGTTTTACGTCCACAATAATTCTAAATCATATACAGCGACATTCAAACAAAAAATTTCGCAAAATGAATTTAAATCTTACGGTAAATTTAAAACTTGTATTTGAAAACCCTGTACTTTATTTTGTTTGCTGTGCAATCCAATTCGGTAAATTCATTTTTTCATCTTTTCAATGTTCGTTGTTAAAAATACGGCTTATTTTCACAAAGCATAAACGTCTATTTTAAAATGTGTCCCGTCATGTAAAAATGATGAATAGTGGCGAGGCTCTTGTTTTCGAATTAAAGGAAAGTGCCTCGCGTAAAAAAGATATCAAATAAGACGCTGCCATGAACATGAACATGCAAACATGGCTGACGCGCATTTGTTATGCATGAAAATCACGTCTTATGCAGGACATTAGAGAAACGCATCGTAAAACTGCAGAACTCGTTTCATATTTTAATTTTATACCCTACTCCACTCTGCTATTGAAGGATTATTCTGAGTTTATGAAAGTAGAAAATTTCATATTTAGTTGTATATGATCCAGCACATAACACTTGGTATTATAGACAAAGTTTTGGGGATTACGGATTATATCGAGAGGCCTTTTAACCTTTCTGTACCTTGGAGCTCTGAGCACATTTCACAATACGCGTCGTTACCACCCGGAGCAGTGGTTGCGGGCGGCGGCGCTGTGTGTATGTATATCGGCTCCAAGTTCGAAGAAAACATTCAAGGACATGCGAATGCGATTGGAAGTTCAGAGGACTAAATCCATTCGCTTACGGTTTAACGGGTTAGGTTCAGACGTGGTAAACAAATGTACTGTTGACATAAGCTTACGAAAAGAAATTTTTAGGGAGTTTTTTAAAAAGATTTAAAAATGCGATTTTCAGAAACAGGGATAATTGGATATTTTTAAATATGTCTGGGTGTATGTAAAATAGTGGAATGTAAATTGAATTTGGAATTTAAATGTTCACCGGATAAACGCATTACAAGTTCGGACAAAATCTAATTAACATCCGTAAGTGGATGGCTGATTTTATAGGATCTCGTTATTAAACTCAATTACTTGCAAATTGCCTAAGCGAATGAAACCGCTACTGCTTAAAGCAATTTACTGATATTTGCTTGTTTGCTTAAAAAATAAATTCGAGCACTATTTAATTATAGGAATTAAACTTATTTAGTTCAAGCATACGTTTGATGAATTTGCATGAATGTCTTTTGTGCGTTGGTTTAAAATAGCCACAAAAACGGCGATAAATCAATAGACAAAGGGGACTTGCCAAACAGTAAAGTTAGGGCATTATATCCCGAAGTTCATAGACTCTGATGTATAAGGACCTTTATTATAAGAACTTTTTTATATTGGCGGGCCTGAAACGCGGTGTGTGAAAGTGAAATATATCGGGATGTTTAGAACGTTCAAGGATTTTTCGCATTTCCTAGAGGACATAACATATTTTAACGTGCGCCGTCCGCAAAACGCCGCCGTCGACACCGAAGACGGCGTGGCGCGAGGACGATGAACGATGCGTGCGATTTTTTGTCGAGTGTCACGGTCCGTAGGCGTGCGGATGTCCTTTTGTGCGTTTTCCACAGACGGCGCGCGCTTTTTTATTCACTTTTCGCTACGTCGCGCGATAAGGGCACGTAACGACGCGAACTAACCATTCCTAACACAGAGGATGTGTCCGCACATTTGTTCATGCTCGCATACAGTGCGTACTAAATTAACTACGTATAAGAATATTTATGAATTTAACGTAAAGACAGCTATGGCCAATGTGTATGTTGTAATTTTTTTTATTACATACGCCACGACCACGAGGAGCTGAAGAAATGAGGAAATATAACGACGGCGATAACAGCGATAATTCGGGACTCTAGCTTTTTGCGCGTGTCGACGGTCAAGAAATTGGTGGATGCGAAACGAGGAGTAAAAACGATTTTATTTGTTGTATTAATGGCGCGGTGCAAATGTGCCGTTTTATGTGCTTCACGTTGAAGAAAAAGATGTTATATTACGACTCCCAACTTCAACGGAGATAAGGGGACATATTTATAGCCGTAATTATGAAATGAGAGCGAAAAAATACACACACCATAAATAATTAAATTTTTATTTTAAAAAAATATTTAAATATGATGTACATTATGCATATCGACATGTATATTATTAAAATTATCATCTGAATCTTCAAAACTCTGGGCGGCGTCATCATAGTCTCGATGAACAAATCGAAAAACTTGCAATAAACACATTCGGAAGTTTTTGTTCACTTTTGCGAAGACATACACATTAACAAGTGGATTTAAATACCCCAAACATGCGGCAATTATAGAGAGATAATAAAGTAAAAGGTAACTCTCGATGACGCTGGCGATGAGCAGACACAACCAGCTTGGAAACCAGCAAATCACGTAGACGGTGACGAGTGTCAGATTAAGTCTCAGTTTGTCGTGGGCGTCGCACCACCGCGTCGTGTACCGCGCCACGTGCATCGCCGCCACCGTGCACATGAGCGCAGCGTAACCGAAAAACAGAATGTAATGCGAGTATAGTGAATATAATTGCTGCACGCAAAAACTGGAGAAGGTAACGATGCTTGCAGCCGCCGCTAGCCATACTCCGACGACGACAATACGCGAAAAACGTCCGAAACGCACTGTGTACACGGTGAGGAACCAGTTTATGCACAGCACGCCGATGAAAACAATACTTGTTATTTGCAATACCGACGCGAACTCAAACGAAATACAGACGATTTCTTCACCGATGAAGAGGTCCTCCAACGCAGAGAATATGCGATAAAAACATGGCGTCAACAGTAAGTAGACCGCATCACTAATCAACCAGTTGACAATATAAACGTTCGTGGAGCTCTGCATGTTTTTAAAACGCTGTAAGATGTATATTATTAATCCGTCGGCGATGATGCCCACTAGGCATATAACGGAAAAGACGATTTCATGGAAGATCATAGACATTGATTCATCCGGGGCGATGTCAGTGTTGAATGTCACATTCCAACTTAAGTTTGCAATCAGATCATAGTCCATTTTCGATGTTTATGTTGAACAGTTGAGGAAATTGATTATTTATGCGTTGATTATCACATTGATTGATTGATTACCATTTTATCTAGAAAATATTACATATTTAGGATTTTTTTCGATAAAGTGTAACATAAAGGTCTAGATTTTTGAATGATTGAAAATTGCAGAGGCGAGTGGATAAACTATAGCCCACTGGGAAGTAAGTCAAATATTTGTGTTGGATTTTCGTTTGAGCGCTCAACGCCATCAGCTATCATATATCTGCCATAAGTGTAGAAGCAATATTCCGGTCGTTCCCAAGAGGAGAATCTAGCTGCATGCAAACAGATCGATGCATCAAATATGCATTTTCTTTCTAATGTTCTTGCGAACTTTCCACATACGATCAAAATTGAATTTTATTTTGGAACTCGGAACCATATTTTGTTTCAATATCATTGAAATTTGAAAATTACAGAAATCTAAATTATATAGAGATAGATATTGAAATTATGTAAGGCTGGCAATGTTGGTAATTCTCGAGTGTTGAAATGTAGTTGTTTATGTTGTTCGTACGCGGTCCGATAACGAAAACAAAGGAATTTAATTCGTCAAAAGCATCGGATCATGTATGTCGCGCATGTGCTGTCTGGCACACAATGAAAACACTCTCCGACATAAATTCGAGCGTTGTTTGAATGAATTGCCGGCGTTATTATTATATAAGACGCCAAAAATGGCTAATGTCAATTTAATTCGATAAAACGGTAATTCGTTCGGAACGCGCTTGTGTAGCATGCGCAAAATTGCGCATCAAGGTCAGACTCGTGCCATACTATTCTCTTCCTTTTATATCAGTGCTTTTGCACTGAAGTAATATTATCAACAAACAAAAAAGTCTTGCGAGAAACATTCGAGAAGAATGAATTTTCATAAATAAAAAATTTATTATCATTTATGGATAATTACCTGATTTGAAATCCATTTATGAGATTCGGTATTTCTGAGTCACTTTTGAACTCCGAATTGATATTTACACGAATGTACCACTTTCATTTTTAATTGAATCCACCGTCTGCAACAAGCAGCAGCTGAGTCACATTGTTCTGTGTTTAAGGGCAACAAATCAAAGCCTAAAATCGCTGTCGATTGTAGGCTGATGTCGCGTTTTATTTCGGACGCGGTGACAGATGGAATGGAAGGCACGACTTGATGATAACGCGGATAAGCTGTGATCTGTGATCTGGAGCCCTGGCTCCCGCCATGCATGCTGCGAACCTTAGCTATGGCGAGCCACGTTCAATAGACCAATTTATTCGTTAAATTCGCATTTGTAAATGTTAAACGATCATACTGGATGATTGGGTTTTTAGCATTAGGTCACATATTAATTTTATATATCTATATAAATAAGATAAAATTAAAATCTAACACATTGAATTAATAATTTATTAGTTTTTAATCAGTTAGTAATCGTTTGATAGGAGGAAAATTATATCTCCCTGTATATTCGGTAGCAGTGAACTTGTTCACTTCCACGCACCGGTGCGTATTTATATATAATTCCTTCCGTAACGGTAATTGGTGGTGTTCGATAATAGGCATTTGGCTGTCGTCACAATCCGCATCCGACTCTTGTAACAACATGCGAATTACAGAACGGAACAGATAAGGAACGACCTTTTTTATCTAAATTTATTCGGTATGTTTCACAGCACGAAGGTCAGCGTCAACGGCGGTACTTCACTAATCAATCATTGTTAATCAAAGCTCGACATGAAACCCCACAAGCAGTCCACACTAATGCGCATTTGTTTCAACAAGGTTTTTTCCTATTTTTGCACATCAAAAAATTCATTTAACCTGCATAATTTAATTTTTTACCATGAAATTAAAAAATATATACATATAGGAAGTTATACGATTGATTATATGATAAAATTACGAATTTAAAATGCATAAGTTTATTTTATTTCGTAGTGTGACACAACTGTCCGAAAGTGATAAAAAATAGCAGACGATAAATTAAATTTACGTTCGTATTCAGCTATCTCTGACACGGAATAAATGCGCGCGGTAACTCGTAGAATACTACAATTCGATATTTTCAGGTACAAATGAAATGACTGGAATGTAAATAGCTTTGCATGCAGTACCTGCGGTACACAATGCAACTGTCCATGCGAAAAGTCGAAAAGATACATGACACTGCAGTAAAAACGCGTACAGTAAACCTGAGTAAACACAAAAAGTGGAAAAACAACAATGGACACACGAGCAAAGAAAACAATGAAATATTTGAATACTTGCCTCTTCAACGTTTTTAAATTACGAGCAGTTTTCCCTATTTACACAAATGCATTTATTTTTATTAAACATTTTTTGTTGAAAATTTATTTTTGTAAAGAATTTAAATGAATAGACGACATTCAATGTGCAAAAAAATTGAATTGAATGTAGATTGATGAAGGACCTTTTATAAATAAAACTGGTGATAAAACAGGGTTTTAAATCCATTTTGACCTGGGTTTATTATATTTTACTTCAATTTGGTACTGACGCTATTCAGGGTAAATTAATTCAGACTTTAGTACTTTCCCAACGTGATAGATGGCGCCACGTGTGTCTCAGCGATGCAAAATCCGAGGTTCATAACTTTTTTTTTATTAAAATTTAAAAAAAGAACTGTATGCATATATTAATTGATCAATCATATATTTATTTTAATATACAGCCATATTTACTTATTATCATTTGAGTAGTATTATCACAAATAACAAGTTTTTTGCCATCGTAGCAAAAAAATTAACAATATAACACAAATATATTTGTTAAATTACAATAAGAATTGAGTAAAATAAACTTTTAACAATATATTTTTTTAATTTTTTGATAAATCAAACTAGGTGCGCTTTTTTCTGACTAAAGTGATTCATCAAGATTAACTTATTCCAACATTACGGAACTCTAATTGTACTCACATCTTGAACTTGAGTTCGTACCGGATTCTCGTTAGCGTTAAAATTTATATTGACGTGATTATTATCCTGGCTATCTTCACTCGAATCCTCAGCGAAAGTAATAGTTGCATCCACGTCGTAATCACCAGCGCCTTTGCATTGCAACAGATTCAACAGGCAAATCTTAAAGTTTTTATCCGCGCACACGATGTAAATCAATATATACAAACTGACCATGAAACTATGTTGCGCTAATGCGAAGAACAAGTAACGAAGAGTATTATCCGACACAATATAAAGGAAAAACGTTAAAAACCAAGAACCAGTGTAAATTCGGGCGATGTTAAGCCTGAAGCGCGTGCGTTCACTTAGGGGATCTTTCTTGTACCACTTTTTGTAGCAATTATTCGCTTCTTTGAACAATATCACGCCGAGAATGAGCATAAAAAGAGCAAAACACGTCAAATATAGTACAGGCCATATTTCCACAGTACAGAGACCCAAGTGTATCACAAAATTGCACATGATAGATGCGTATACACTAATTAGTAACCATTTTAATACGATACGTTTGCTTTTTATCAGCGTGTTTGATACCAGTATGAGAACAAAAATAGTTTCGTTCAACTGAAAGCCCACGTCAATATATCGTAAGAGACAATTATCAAAAAACGAAAAGTGGTCCTCGCTACCCATTAATTCCAGTAGTGATGAAAGAAAGTGTAGATTGCTCACCAAGAAAAGCGTATCATTAATTGCCAGATTCATTAGAATTAGATTTGTTTTTGTGCGCATACGCGCATTGCGAGCTATCATATATATTATCACAAGGTTGGCAACCACACCTACAAACGTAAAAGTAATGGCGACGGAATCCTGCACCACGTCCCATGCTGACAGTTCATAATGAAAATCATCCAGGTCATCAGAATTGTTGCTGAATACGAAATTCTCTAGCTCGTCATCTGTAATGAGACGAAGGTCATCAGTTTGACAATAATTACAAATACAATATGTAGGTACTTATTTCCTGTTGTTGACAGTATTCAATCAATCATTGTATTGATTTTTCAACAAGTGTCCAAGAAAACACGTGGCAAATATATAATCTAATTTTTATGACATGTAATCGCGACTAATCATAAACAAACCACGCAGCATCACAACAAATATATACCAGGTGTACACAGAATTTAAATATTTTGTTTGGATTTATTTAACAAACAATATGTTATGTAAATTAGGCACGCGTGATTTTGATAATAATTAGCAGTTAAGGTAAATCTATGGAAGTTTTTGTAAAAATAAATTTCTAACGAGTATTTTACCAAATTGCTGCCTATTGACACACACAGGCAGCACGCGCGGGCTCATAATCATCGTTTATACTGTTAAAGGTCACTGTTATAATCGTTTTAATATCCAGACCAGACAATAAAAAACGTCCACACGAATGGGATGAACATACGTTCAAATTACAAATGATGATAACAAAGTTAGAACCAAAAATACAGCTTACCCATGTTTTACTAGTTGATATTTATAGATATATTTAATGCAGATGATGTTTTTTATTAGTTTTTGCCTAAAATATAAATTAAAAACGTATAAAACAAAAATACATTAATTTCTACTATTTGCACTCACCAGTAATCGTTTGATCCTCCAGTTTACAGTCAGTTAATTATAATAAATAATTAAACATTTGATCCATCGCTTCATTTTTAGTTACATAATTCTTTTACATTCGACGCATTTATGTCGTATTTAAATTAGCACGTTTGACGGTAAACTAAGTAATTTATCTATTGTTCGTGATGCGGTGCGCTTCTGTGTTTGACTACTATTTGACAACTAACTGACCGGGCAAGCTGAAACTCGGAAACGTAAAACTGTGCATGCGATATGCCATGAGCGCGGATAGAGGAGAGCCGTGGTCTTTCCGAATCCGATTGTCGTTATTCCAGCTATATTCATAAATAAACTAGCGAGTATATTATTACCGTTCGATTTGCTCTTGACTTCAGCTTTGTCAGCTGTGCGCGCACACACTCGGCACAAGTGTACGTTCGTTTTTTTTTTCACTCGCATCATATCCTTGACGGGGTCACCGGTGATGATCCGCATTTTTTTTTCAAGCTAGCTGTGTTATTAGAACACGATGCACGAAAACTTGTTTTAAGTTGGTCATTCTCCAAGAGATATGGAGACTTGAACTCTTTATTTGTTTATTTTTCGGTGTGCTTTGCTATTATTATATTCATTTAAACATTGATATGGCTATAAAATATAATTATTTCATGAATCTGTTTTACGACATGTATAATGTTTCAATACGCCTCTTCTTTTACATATGCTTCGAAAACATTATAATAGTTAGTTAAATTGTACACAACTGTTAATTATTCAAACTAATTACGGTTAAGGTTTCTCTTCATTAACGATTCGAAAGAAACTCGACAAGAACTATCTTTAAACTTGTAGAAACTTGTGTTATTTTGATTTAATCCAACAGATGTCGCTGCATGTACTAAACCGTAATATTAAGTTTATTACAATCAAAACAACTTAAAACAACGCTCATTATTATTCATGCTACGATATAATTTACTAAATCTACATAACTTCAGTTCTATGATACAAATAATGGTACCTAGCGCCTGTAATAATAGCGCTTAACTCATTTGGATCTGCGTTGATGGAATCACCTCGCCGCAGTGATGTACACGAACAGATAAAACACTTCCGGAAGGCAATATCATTGCACAGCAAATGGATCAATACATAAAAGCCTGTGAGGAACGCAGTCAAAGTTAAACAAATTGTGAACGCGTAGAAATATTTCGTTGCCGTCTGACCCGAAACTGCTTCATGAAAACCGTAAGCTGCGACGTACCTCATGAAGTACACGAAGCACCAGTTATAAACATATACACGTATGATATTTATCTTTAACTGCTTCATTAGTACTATGTCTATGTCTGAATCATCGTTGCACATCAATTGAAAATAGTGAAATTCATTAACGAGCAGTAACAGAACCAATAGGGAGATGTAACCGCGGCGTATCACGTCAATGTGGTGATTTGAAAGATCGTAGTTGAGAAAAACAATCAAAAGGTCTATGATGATGAATGCTATAACTATAAACCATTGGACGAAGTTCTGCGCAGTTGTATGATTCTCATTAGCTGACGAGAAAGCGAGCAGCCACATTAGTATCAAACAGTTCATTTGAAGTAATAAGCTGCTTGCTGATTCTTCCAAAAGGTGTGGTTGGAAAATGAACAGCTTGGTTTCGGATGTAACATGTAAACCAAACGATCGGAGTAAAAAATGTAAAAACCCGGTTGTGTTGAATAAATAGAATAAATCACATATTGCCCATGATAAAATTATCAATCGCATACTGCTACGTAATGCCAGTTTGTGAATAATCGTGTCGATGATTAAAATGTTACAGAGTATTCCAATCAGTATTGTAGCGAAGGTAACATAGTCAAAAACATCCGGCTCGTCTGAAAAATATTATTTTACGAATTTTAAAATTAGATTTTATTAATATATAGATATACTCACTTAAGTAAGTTTCCATTGTGAAAACTAAAAGGTTTCCTTTATGAAATTAAAACTATCTACACTTATTCTTTGTTTTTCACTTTCATGTTAGATTCCTGCAGATACGCTTTGTGATGAGTTGGAATTAAAAAGTTTCCATGGTGGAAGTTTCTTATTCAAGGAAAAATTTCGTTAGTTTGACGTTTGTTCTGCTTTGTTCAAATAACTAGAATTTAATTTAGTTTCTCGGCGACGATGTTGACTTCGTGAACGAGAAAGGATAAAGACTATCACATGACACACGACCGCATTGATTTGTTTGTCACCAAGATTATTTTATTAATTAAAAAAGAATATAATACAAGGTGTTTTATTTAAAATTTTGATTATATAATAGCGAAAAATTACAACCTTTTTAGGTTGTTGATTTAATTATGCCTGTTTAAGGTTGGATTCATTTATGGATTTAATTAATATTTATATTTGATTAAAATTAAATTTTGGAGAATATGTAAATATAGCATCCAGTGCATTCTGCTATCTTTTAATAATAGTGCATCCAATTATAACTTGAACTTTTGTTGATGACATATATATTTAATCGTCAAGTTCGGAATATAATATCTGCAATAACATGAAATCAATCAAGCTGCTTGGGCAAGTTTCAAAAATATTTTTATTGTAAATTAAATTAAATTCTTGTAAATTCTACAGTTTCTTTGTTTTCGTTCACATTGTATACAACAGTGGCATCTATATCAGCATCAGTTCTTTTACAACAACGTAGTCTAAACGCATTTCGGAAATTTAAGTCAACAATACATAAATATATGAACATTTGTAAAGGAATTAAATGTAGAAAGTATTGTGGTGCGATTTCGCCAAAGTAAGCCAAGAAAATTAGAAGTGCATGATTGTAAGTATAAATTCGCACTAAGTTTATTTTAATTCTAGTCTCTTCGCTTATCGGATCATCTCGATGAGCTTTGCAGCAAATATTCACTTCTTTTACCAGTAAAACCACGAGTAATATAAAAAACATAAAAACGAATTTAATCGCCGAAATTGGAGGTGCAATAGCGTAGCAAACGAAGAAATTGATTATGTATACTAAAATTGTGCCTAGACAGAGGCCCCATAGAAATAGTTGTCCTTTGACGAATTCTAACCGCGCAACAGTTGTTGATACCATTAGAAGCATTAGAATCACACAGTTTAGCTTCATTACACCCGATGTAAACTCAAGCAAACATACGTCGAATAAATGATTATCGGATCTGAAGAAATCATGCCATACATCCACGATTATGCCCACAAATAATTCGAAACCAATAGCGTCGAAAATAGCCCAGTATAGTAAGAGAATATTGCGACGTGATTTCATACGATGATTTTTTATAACTGCGTAGATAATTAAAATATCGCAGATTACACCGATAACACTACATAGTTCTAATGCAGTTTCTATATAGGGTTCATAATTAGTATCTGTAGAGTTATGAAAAGGGTCGTCTTCCACATCTAAATCATAATCCATCCTAAAAACATTAGGAATATTGTTAACATTTGTTAAAATGATATATAAATGAACTTACTTGGATTTTTAAGCTTTTAGGTAGTAGTTGATGAAGTAGTCACATTGTGGTTTTAAACCTGATATATGTACATAGTCAATCTATAACAATAATTTGGAATTATTTTCTAAGAAGTTGAGTTGTTTATTCTAGAAGCGCACTAACAAACATTAATTTCTCAGTTAAAATATGCGTTCTGACCGCTTCAATGTCATTATCGTCACTTGCTTGGAAGCACTTATCTTATTTATGCATACTGCGAAATCGCGTAATCTCCAGTTGACTTTGTTCATAAGATGAACAACTTTTTAGTAGGAGAAAAAATCAAAATATTAATTTATAAAAATATATTTATACAAAATATGTACACGTCAAATATATAACAAGCATGTGATTACAATCGAGTAAAATCTACAGTTTCCTTATTTCCATCAACATTATAAACAACAGTAGCGTCTAAATTGGCATCCGATTTTTTACAACAGTGTCTGAAAGCGCTTCGGAAATTTAAATCAACTACACACAGATATATAAATATATACATAGGAGTGAAATGCAAAAAGGACTCCATTAAAAATGCAAGGTATATGCTTTGGTCAAATAATTCCAATAAAAGAAATGTGAAAAATACTACCAGAATATGAGTGTAGACATAGATTCGTACAATGTTAATTTTCACTTTGGTCGATTCGCTAATAGGATCATCTCTACGAGCTTTTAGGCATATGTTCACCTCCTTCACTAATAAAACCACGAGTAATATAAAATACACCACAGCAAATTTGAAAAGCGCTAAGAACTTCCACACAAAATAGCACATAAAGAAGTTTAAAATATAAATTGCAATAGTGCCTATACACAGGCACCATGCAAACGCTCGTCCTTTAATGAATTGCATCCGTGCAACTGTTGTCGACACCATCAACAACATGAGAATTACGCAATTTATCTTAACAAGTCCCGCGGAAAACTCCACAAAACATACGTGGAATAAGTAACTTGTTGGTTCCATCAGATAATCTATTAGATGAACGACTATACCGATAAAAAATTCGAAACCAATCGCATCAAAAATGGCCCAGTATAGTAGCAAAATATTACGACGTGATTTCATGCGTCGATTTTTTACTATCGCGAAGATAATTAAAATATCGCATAGAACACCGATGAAACTACTGACTTCATTTCCAATCGCTACGATTCTTCCAAACTGGTAATTATGATTGGTTGAATTGTACATTTCATCTTCAAAGTCTATATCGATAGAATATTCGATGTCGTCAGTGATATTCATTCTAAAAAGTGTTAAAATTAGAAAATAATGTAAAATTACATTGATATAATATACTCACTTGAATTATTTATGTTTTATTTTCTACTTAACGTTAAAGGCTTCTAAAGAGATGTTGACAGGTGAAGAGCACGTCTCATTGTGTTTTGACACTGACGATTATAAATTAGAGCTAAAATAATAATTTTTGTATTATTTTCTGACGAAACGTGTTGTCCTGTTAAGAAACACCAAAATTCCCAGTCAAATTACACAAATTTTGACCACTACCAACTTGATTCATAGCACTTATCTTATTTATGTTTACTGTACGGTCTGCGTTATCGCGTCATTACAAAGAAAATGACTGCACAGCATATAATTAACGCGTGATAAAGTTTAGCTTTTATCTTTTCGTCTCTCACAGCTAACAGAAACGTTTAATTCGCGCATCACAAATACGTAATGTGTATTCTTAGAATCGCGTGAGTAAAGAAAAACGTTGTTTACGTTAAGTTTACTTAAACGTAAAAAAGAAACTATTCCACGCATGCGCACGCATTATTAATTATTTCCGTATTAGCGGTTTCAAATAAAACCACAAACTATAAAAATTGTTCGCGGCTTGTAGTGTATTTTTATTAAAGTAACATCAATTGGAAAATATATTAATTCTCTGGAAAATTATGCGCGCAAACCAATGTGGTTTTATTATTACAGTTGATCCGCGTTCGGATGGCATTTGTAATTAAATCGAAGCATAAATGTAAACGTTTATAGTACACGTAGATTGAACAACTTCATCTCGAGGTTTCCAACCGCAAACTTAGCGTATGAGTATATTTCACATACCTTCTATTCTTAGCATACTAACCTCCAACGTTGACTCCGTAATCAATTTGCTGTATGCCTGTTAGCGATTCAAGTTCACTGCTATGTTTTGTTTGCTTCTGATATTGCAAATATGAGATCAATTTATTTTGCTGTTTGCATGCAGTGCGCGGAGAGGGGTACTGCGAGTATTGCGTGCAAATTAATGTCAACACGAATTGAGTGTAATGTATAATCGAATTCACCACACTACTACTACTACTACTGACTATGTACTGCGACGTTAAGTTTTCGATTCATGTTTGTGGTGCCAGATGTAATAAACTATGCTCGTGAATACATACATATTGAAATTTGCTGTGCGGCATTGGAATGATGGAATCCCCACCAAAAGTTAATCACTTTATAGTTTTATCTACAATTATCACATGTAACTAACTGTAAATACTGAGAACGTTACAAAACAAATACTACGCTATTTATTTTGAAAATAATAAAGTTATTATTTGCGTTTTCGTACTTATACCGCAACTCAAGCACTGCACATTCACCTCCATAATAATTATATTATACAATCTAAGTAAATTATTTTCTACAAATACTAATGTAATGATTCTTGATTGTTACTAATTTAAAAACAATTTTATAGAAATTTAATCTTCTATAAAAACAAATCATTACCATTTCAAAATTGCATAGGAAACATGAACGATAAACATCTACATTCACGCAATATATTGTTGCGTCTGTCATCGTCTAGTGACGTTCGGAATGGTTCTGGTATTGTTTTGTAATTGTATCTGTCATTATCGAGAGCGTCCGAAGCAGGTAGATCGTCGCAAAACAAACAGAGACCACTTTCACTTTCCATATCGAATGAATGAACATTGAAGCGAGTCGAATTTGAATTTCGGAGACGTTCACACCAACAAACGATGTCAAAACTATTTTTTAAACAATGACAATTACCAGATACTTCTAGTTGTTAATTCTGTGTTGCAAATCGTGAATTTGCAATGCGATGAATTCGATATGGAGTAACATAGGAAGTGAATATTCGCAGAAATATTGAAAGCAAATGACAAATTGTGTACACTTTCAATTGAGCAATTGTGCATTGTTTCTGCAATGCATATCAATTAGAATATACGTGAGTGAATACGTTACATAAGTATTTTTTTACTAATATTTCCATTTTCTTGCATTTATTTTTCTTTTTTTTTTTTACTGCATTTGACTGTTATTGACGACTTGAGTACTCGTAGACTAGAATAAAGGAATGAAACTGGTTCTCAAGACAGTATTATATAAATGCGATGAAAATAAACAAGTGTGCATGCCGACAGCATTAATTAAAACCGTTTTGCGTGATTGCGTAATAAGTTTTGATCGATTTATTGTGTGTCAAGTTGTGTGTCACCCAATTAAGTGTAACATATTTACTTCCGCTTTCAAAATTTAATTCCTCAAGTGACACACGACAAAAAATATGAACAAATATACTAATTTCATAAGTATGGAAGTTGTGTAGCAATTAAATTAAATTTCACATTTTATAACATAATATTTATTCAGTTCTATGTATTTTTTACACATAAAAGAATCTATTTACACCGTACACAATAATATACCTCATATTTACACATTTACACAATAATATAGAGTTTTTAATTAAGTTGTTATAATTTTTTTAATTACTAGCCAAAACTTTTATGATAATAAACTTTAGGCTTTCATCAAATAAAAGAATAATAAATTCTAAACAAGAAAAAATCAGTGTTTGAAATTTTTATACTCATGCTATAAATTTATAATTTAATCGACGGGTAGTTTCATCATTAACACGATCATTAATCATAGTAAATCGATTTAATTAATTTAATATAAGCGTTGACGATCAAAAAATTTCTCTCGGCGATACATCAAACTAAATACACATTAATCATGCAATATTTTTTTAATGCTTTTCAAAAAATGCAAGCAACACTTTTTTACGTAAATTTTAAGGTGACTTTAATCCGATAGAATTTAATATTTATTATGCAATTATTTGATTTTAGTAATGTAGTTTAAATGTGCCATCACATTATCATATCAACATGCGAGTCCACGTTTCAAGTCATTTCATGTAAAACATATCAAGAATTTAATTCGCTTCGTAAATTACACTGCAAGTAATCTGCAACTTTCTAAAGGCCGGTTTTCGCAGCTATCAATTTCCATTTTACGAACTTCAGAGAGCGAAATTGAATCGCACTTTCATTGCGTGTTACATTTGATGTTCATCTACAAATGTATAAATCTACATGACAGTTGATATACACCATTACTCCAAATATATACCTATCTTTGAGTTTTATGTATTCAATTAAATGAAATTGCGTTCCGTTTGTTCAATAACTTAGGCGCAGCTTTTCAACCTTGTCGTACAAAAGACAAACGCAACTTTTACTTTATAAACATAAACAAGACTAACGCGAAGCAAAAATATGAATTTTGTTTAGTTTTAAAGAACACTTGGTAGATGATTTATAAGATTGAATATAGAATGTCTTGGTTATTAAATAATCAGCACGAAATTGAATCCAATTGTAAATTGATTAACTGCATGAGGTAAAACTTTCACGTCTTTACGCTGGAATCATCTTCTCGTTGCGTATGCTGATGTCGACGGAAGTCTGCTCACTGGCGTAGTTGATCGATTCGGCTCGATTGATGCGCACGGTGCGACAATTGAACAGCGCCATAATACTGTCCTTAAACATCTCGTTATGCTTGAATAAGTACAACGCCAGCGCAATATTCTTGCCCACTTTGACGGACGTGCCGAAGGCGAGCACGAAATGCTTGACGATAGTTTCATTGCGCAGGGCGAATTCCGCCACCACGTTGACGATCCAACTACTCAGGCAGAGACAAACGAAAATGGTGGCGAAGTTGAGGCGGAAAGCACCATCGCGTGTCGAGTCGCCCTTACGTCTACAACGCTGGCAGCACTTTCCAAGTAGCACCAGCAACAGGATGGCCATTAGGACCGCATAAATACCGCCCTGCAGTAGTGTCAAATCGTCGCGGCAGTACAACGCGTTGAAGTACGACGCAACAATTGCGATGTTCCATAAAAGTACCACAACTATACCTTGTGATATACAAGCGGATAGTACTATGAAATTTGTAGCTAGGGCGATGACGAAGAGCATTGTTAGAATTTGTAGACAAATTTCCAAATTGGTTAGGGCACATTGCACGTGTCGATGGTCATCAAGTGAAGCAGTGTATCTTAAGATACGTTTATCAACGTAATAGATTAGTAATACTATTAAAGTTAAAAGGTCAGCGAGTGCAACGTTGAGGATATACATGTTGGTCCTGTTACGCATCAATTTACTCCGAAGGATTGTTACTATCAGCAGTATATTCGCCACAATACTTAATACGTTTATAATAGTAATAATCAATTCGTAGATTATCTCTGGTTTAGTTTGCATATCGTTTAACGACGCCATTTTTATGTTTTTTAATTTTTTAAACAAAGTTTTTATTTGCAGATATAAATCACAAATTACTTCGTAAGCAGTCCGTGGTTATTGCAATACACGTGAGTTAAATTGCACATGATTTTGATTTCAATTTCGATTTCTCCTCTTCTTGCATTTTCTTTGTTAAGATTTAAGTTGCAATTTGAAAATCCAATTATTCGTTTCTGGCTCATAACTTGTATTACTAAACGTTGTAAAATTGTTGTTTTCTTTAAAGGTTGTCACGCACCACTGCCCTTTAGACTTTATTCTTTATACACTCTCATGCACTGCAAACTGCGTAACAAACACTTTTTAATATTACCGCGCGGTTATTTTACTTCTTGAGCGATCGCCGTCTATGAAAGTACTACTTCGAGACTTGGTCGGTTCTTGAACGCCGAATGCATTTCGATCACTTTTTGCGCTGTTACTCGTCTACGGTTTCTATTACCACTACTGTTAGGTCTCTTAGCCACCACTACTGTATCTTATACTTATAATATACAGTATATTACAAAATATTAGGTTTAGTAATGAAGCAAATTAAATAAATTGAGTTGTAATATAAACATTGTCATGGAGTATCGCCTTTTTTGTTTGATTTAGATAATTGAGGTTCTATTTTATATTATTTGGAAATTATTCGGGTGTGTTGCAAGTTGCTTGATTACCTTTTGTGGTAACAAGTGGTTTAGTGTCTTGATATTGCTATTTATGTGCTAAATGTTGCAAAAGGAAGAAATATTATAAGCCAAAGAAGTGGTTGTGAATACTGGATGTCCTTGTCCTTGCCTCCGGCTTTGCTATATTAAAAGAAATAAATAAGTCGGTTTCCTGTTTCTTTTATCTATTTAGCAACAGGTGGAAATTTTTTTAATTAAGATTAAATATATTGACAATATAAAAATCATAGGAATGTAGTCAGAATTATTATTCAACTGGATTTTAAGTTTAAAACCCGCATAATCACTTTTCTTGCATATACATTAATTTATCTCCACAAAATATTAATAGTCTTATAATAATAATGTATATCGAAGTATATCTCTTTAAATTTTATAGTTTTTAGTTTATAGGTAATTTGATTTTACAGTATATTGCGGTTTCAATTTGATGTTATACTCAAGATTATATCACGCGAATCCTCCACTTTGAAACAGTACTTTAACTTTATCATAATTTCAGTTTTTACGTTTTAAATTTAATGCATGTAATAAAAAGAAAATGCATAAAACGTATATACAAGTTATTTCACAACATTGATGACTTCTATACCTTTTGTGGTTTAATTCTGCAGAGAAAATCGAATTGTGGTCGTAATTTTTACAACCAGATACAATTTACAAGTTACATAAATATGCAGTTGTATAATTCATATCCTGACACAATTTCATATATGATACTTTTATACACCCACCAAAAATGTAAACAGATATTTATTTGTGAATTACATGAGTACCGGTTTTATATACGTCGTAAATTGATTGCAAGTAAAATAAAAATTTATGGAAAAATATAATTTTGCAATAAAAGTTCAGGTGATAATAATATTTCGAGTAGTTTCAACTTAGTGCTTTACATTTATGCGACGAGTAAGCTTCTATATTTTACCATTTGGCAACGTGTTATCTTATCCTATTTTCATCTTATATCCGTCAAGCTTTTCGTATCTCGCGGCTTTCACAGCGTCTAGTCACGCGGCGGTTGCTGATGCATAGTTTGCTATTCAATTTCAATCTTGCTTCCACGCTTCCAGACGTTATGAATACAACTATCGCACATATGTAACATCATCCTCAAAGATATATATATATGATTCTATTACTTCATCTTCTCGTTTATGCCATTTGATAACGATTCAAACATTCAAACATCTGCAACCTGTTGCTGCATGCGCGCTTTTTACATTATAACATATTCTAACGAAAATAACTAGGGGTTATATTTTATATTTTAACATTTACTTTAAAAATATTTGTATTTCTAATACAAGTAAACCATTATGGTACAATATAAACATTTACTTTGTTAAGTAAAAGTTCTTCAAGTTATCAAAGGTAAACTTTCGGTTTGCTGGTTTGCACATGCAATAATATTGAACGTTAAAACGGACGAATTCATTTTATGATTTTAGAATTTTAATTAATTATATTTATTAATCCAGGTAAAGTGTTTTGTACTGTTTACTTTAGGCTTACTTTTAATTAATTTTTATCGCTTACAAGCCGTACATTAATAAGCAAAGTTTAATTAAAACAAATAATCAATTATTATCAAGTTCAACTTTGCTAATGTAAAACTCTGGTTCGCGTAAATTGCCAAACTTTTTAATAACATTATTTGCTAATACCAAAATGGATAAATGTGTAAAATATTCGAGGATAACATGTGAATGTTTATATCCTGCAATAGTTGTCCGATACAAATGTGTTTTTATGTTGTTCTTGTATTTTTTTTTTGGCGTAATAACAACAAACGATATTGGGACAGCGATAAACATTTGTTTGTCGTGGACGATTGCGTCGAACCATTCAGTCAGCACCACGCCATTTTGCTCGGCCATTTTGTCATGTTCGACGGAATGCAAATAAATACAAATCACTCACGCAATCCCAATCCCTTCGAATAACTGTATAAATTTGACCAAGTCAGCATCACTGAGTCCACTATGAAGGCAACCCATTAGGGTCTTCCCAACGTACATAAACAACTCACCTTAATGCTTAAAGGTCGTCCTAGCGAAACGTTCGAAATCCAAACATCGGCGTGTTTATACATGCGTCATTGGTAAAAATAATACGCTCCGGCCTACATTACTTCTTATTACTTCTTACTCGTTTCTGTTTGCTTGTCGTAATGGCCGTAGATATCACGCCGATGTTGATCCTTGACTGCAAGACATCAATCCAAACAAACAAAGCGCGTTTCAGACAATTTTCATATTATCTAAAGCTCTCGAACGTTGTCGTAATACGCATGGACATTTACCTCGCGCCTTAATCGCCTCTTCTTGTGACAGAGCGCTCAACTTGGAAAAGTCTAATTTTATTAAATCGATTCCCCAGCGTGCTGTATTGTTTCCTTATTTTCTCATTTCCATGTTTAGCATGTTTCCAATCGACGTGCGTAAACATGTTATAAATGTTATCGTTGTTCTTCAAGTCTATTAACAAACAACTTTGGCGATTAGCATTTTATTGATTGAATTCGAAGCAGTGAAACAGCCGCATGGGGCTGCGAAAAACATTTTGCAATACAGTGCAACAAATGAATTGTATTATTAAGGGTTGTATTATCCTAGAGAATACAGGACTTTTGTGATGATGTTTACACGCATGTTTGTCTTGTGCAAATATGTACCAATAACAGAGAGCGTCTCCATGTTCTGATATAAAGCTTGTTCTATTATAAGAATTGTTTGTTTAGGGAAGGGATTCGTTTGAGCCTGATGACAATCATCAAGAATCAAGTGTAATCTTCTTATATTAGATTATTAACTTTTTTTTGGTACGCAGCTGAATGATTTTTGCTTATCTGATTTATTGAATAAATATTAGTGGTTTATAAACTCTTGACCCGAAAGTCATCAATAAGTAATGTAAATGTATGCATCCCAGTCCGATGTTCCGACATGTATGCTCATAAAATATGTAATCGAATGCCGATTTTGTTGTCAGCTGTATAAAATCTCTTCGCATGTACGTACTCAAAATACAGACGGTTGTTTTAGCACTGATACCGTGTCCGCATTGACGCGTTTCTTGTGAGTTTCGGCCGAGCAAGTTTTGATATTTCGAGAGAAAGTAGTTCGTTTTTCGTCGCGTGGAAGCGTCCGCGTGTTTATTCACTGCTTTTCGGTACCTTTCTTGTATATTATCGCTGACCATATTTCGGCGACGAGGCTGATACATGTTGTCGCAACGGTATTTGCGCCGAACGCGCGAAACGCAACACCAACTTTTAGCAAAAAACCCACAGAACGCCGAAAAAAAAACACACAACGACAAAAAATCTAAAGTTGTTCGACGGCTCGACGAATTCGGCGCGCGCGCTCGCCGAGAAGCCACATTTTTATTAGTTACCAAATATTATTAGTTTCAAAAGTAGTTTTATTGCTCATTAAAGCGTGTGGAAGCGCGAGTTTAAACAACGGATGAAGTCGTTAAGTTCGCCCAGACGAGGAATTAATAAACGCTGTGAAATGGTGTGATTAAGTCATAAATCTCTTTCATAATTGGGTGAGTCTTTTTTAATGGGCGTTTTTCACATTTTTCTTTGCGGCGTTTTTTCTGTATCACTGTACAATACCATGGAATTTGCCTTTAATGTGAGTAATTAATATTAAAAGCCATTAATCAATCACTAGCTTCTTGTTTTTTAAAGTTTTTATTAGGCCATTCTTAGCTTTTTTCCATTTGGAAACCAATTGGATTGATGCCAAAGATTATGACCTTTAAGAAAGTTTAAAGAAAATATAAAAGTCAAAAATTATTGTTACAGAATAATTTAAAAACATATTTTTATTAAATTGCTTATAATAAATGCTTACCTAATGTTTGACTTGCGGTACAAGTGCTGAACGCGATAGTTTGCAACCAAATATACCCATTCTACCTAAATTTTGCAAATTATTTGCTGTACAGATAAAACAACACCCCTTGAAACGTACAGGTGTTTCAAAACTTTCTCAAACTCTGTTTATTCATTTGTTTCAACAATGCCTGTGTTCCGATTAGCAGGGTTGATGTTTGTTATTATTTCATTACGGCCGCCATTTCATGCGCTCTTCGATCGTCACGATAAACCAGATTGTTTGAATTTCTATTATTCGAACACGACAAGAGTTGTACTCGAGTTCTAGGCGCATGCAAAGTATAGGTATTGTTTGTCTTGGCGCTCTGTACTTAGATTTGAGTGAACGGTGCGATAACACGAACGCAATAATTGTTGTTGTTTGGTTTGCTATTCATTACTTTGTAGGAGGCTTGTGCTACATTCGTGTCAGCAATACAATACGCGGGCAATTTGTGGACATGCCAATTGTGATTGTGATTGTCGCCGTTGCAATGATACTAATTAAATTAATTAATACTCATTTGCAATCACGATAACTTTGTGTAAGAATTGCAATTGCAAAGAATGTATACTATAAAAATAATTTGACTTGATATGTTGTACTCGTATGTGTCAATATCAGGAATGGAAATTAAGTTTATTTAATTTCGTTCCTGGGGCGTGATACACTGATAAGTCTTGAGTTGTTTATTCAGCGCGTGGTGGAAGACCTTGAAACCCCCGCAATGAGCTAAACGATCAAATGAGCTTTCGCGAGGTGAGGCGAAGCGAGGCGGCAACCTCGAAAGAAAAGCAGCGAGTTAATAAAACGGGCGAGAATTTGAGATGACGCGTGGGCGATGCGTGTGCTTCCGCGTGGCGGTGGCAATGAAAAAAGTTGCCCCCGGTTGCAAAGGTCGAACGTTGACCTTACTAACAACCCCTTTTAACGCTGAAGCCGTCGTCTCGCTAGCGTATTAGTGTGTCGTATGTGTGGTCTGTGATGTGTGATGTTGGATGCTCTCCGGGAAAATGCGCTTGTCATGCGAAACAAGCAAATCGCGTACGCGTGCTCTCGTAATGGCGGCGTCGGGAATTTTTTGTTTTAAATGTAAGCGGAATGAATAAATTAGAGCCCCGGAACGATCGGTGTCAACCGAGTGTGTATAATGGACTTACTTTGTTTTTAATTAACCGTAGGGAGCAGGGCGTGGGCGATTTAGGGCGTAAATGTATTTGTTATTTTTTCGGGATTGTATTTTTGGGGTGGGACTCGACCATGCGCTAAACTGAGTTATTATTCATTGGGGATCAGCTTAACTTTGACCTTGCACCCTGTTTATTTGGGATGTAAATGTTTGGTCACGCAAAATGTCAAATTTTAACATCAAAAATATTGGCAATTAATTTTTTTTGCCGGGTAATTAGGTTGATACCTTTGAATATTTAATCTTGTTTCATGAAAAAATGTCATTTTAACTGCATTTCCCTGAAAATGTTTCCCTAAAGAAACATTATGCCATATTCTTTGGCAATGTGTACGCCTAATTATTTTTAAATTTGTTTTCTTTTCAATTAGAGCTTCGCACGCAAAACACCATTAAAAATGATTGAAAGGCCGTATTTCCCCGAAGACCGCCGTACGCAATTAATTTGCCATTGCAGAGGTCGAGTCCTTGAACGATTTGACGTTCAAGCGATTCAAGCGATACGGTTCGATTGTCGAATTGCAAAAAACAGGACACGTGGTCGGATATGTAGGGCGTTGATGAAGGGCGCGTGACATTAAATCGCTTTAACGCGATCAACTCGACTGGTAACTTTCGTATTAGCGGCCGTGGGGGGACTATGAGGGTAACCGTTCGTGAAGAGAAGCGTCGGCGGACGAGGGAGAAAAAAATAACGCGTTTAACCTAGATTCGAGGTCGGGACGGCGCAAGAAACAAGAACGACGGAAAGATGTGGAAAGATGTGTAGGGGAAATTTCGTTATTCCATCAATCAAAGTTGGAAGTTGTAACTTAGAATAGAAAGGCTGTTCCCCATGATGCTGTTCGTCGAACGTCGGTTACGTTGGTTTGCTTTTTGCATTCGTCGTTTTTCGATATTTTTTGTCTTCAGAAGAATTCGCAGTTGGTTTATCGCATTCTTTTGACGGACGTCAAATAGATATTTGCGCATCAATCAATATTGTTTCACACGGATGTCACCAGTGTTGATTATGTTTATATATTAAACAATTTGATTTGTTCTCTTTTTTAATGAAATATTCTTTGCCAGGCTTGAATAGATCAATAAAAGGGCTAAGAATGGTGGCGAAAATGCGTAAATAAAGCAAAGCAAACATAAAAACGTAATTTGTTTCGGATGTAGGCGGGTGTCGAGCTACTTCATTCTGTTTGTTCCTCTTAAAATTAATTAAAACGTTTTATATAGGTACAAGTAGGCCTATACGTCCCATTCATTCTTTAAACGCTTTTCTTTATTGACTAAATAATTTCGTTTTCTATACAATATCCATAGGAAATAAAACGAATTCCACACTGGTTCATTTCGCGTAGTATATTCGTGAATAAATTTACGCCTGCTTCTTGTAAAACAACCGCATTTAAGAAAGGTAATAATTTAGCCAAGTTTGCGTCTTCCACTTCTTGCGTCCGCGCTTTATATCGCTGCGTTGAAACTTTATAACTGTGCTTCGGGATTTAACAATTGGCCGCATTTTCTCGCAATTTCAGCCAATTCGAAATAAATTACGACTGCACTCGACCTACACGCTGTACGGCAGTAAACCGTTTCAGTGGTTTCAGTATAAAACACCACTTTTGACGTAGCGATCTGCCGTACTGATCTCGAAGTTTACATTTTACACGAGTTGCTTGCAATCTACGGCATTACATCGCGCGGAAATGGAATAAAACGCAATTTCATTTTCATACATTTCTATTATGAAAACTACATTCTACAATTTATTGTACTGTAAAACATGTTCACTAATTTTTCTATTAAAACTTTGGATTACTTCAATATATTTTACAACTTTCCCTGAAAAATTTACGCGATTTTCAGGTTAAGCTCCTTATCTAACCTAACTTATGCCATCTGGCGGTTAAATTTGTTAAATTTTGTGTTACTGCTTTAAAATGATAAAAAAATAATAAAAGTTTCTCTATTTCAGAGATTGATTCTCCGCAATACCACTTCAGTCAGCTCGATTTGATAGACTTGAATGTACAGCGCCGCATCTTGAGGGGCCAATCAATTGTGACTTACAAGTTTTACATTTGATTTGCATTCGCACACTGGCCCACCATCCAACCAGGCGACCCCTACTATGCAAGTTTCTTTAGCCAGCGCAAGATTTACGACACAAACCGATCGCCACGCGAGGAGTGGCACGGGGAAAGCTAGCAACTAGATCAAATCTTCGCGCGCGCGAAAGCTCGCACTGTCGGCGATTTCACACTGTAAGTGCTTTATAATTCTTTTATCTCTTCTCATACATAGTTGGGTTTTCCTTCTTCACATGCCCTGGACTACTTTCCTCATTGTTTTGTGTGCTTTTTGCTGAGTGTTCTTTGTCGCGACGAATCCAACAAACTGTTACGGTTTCAGCAGCGCTTTTATTCCGAGATTTTTATTAAGCGAAAACTTCACAAAGCGTTCTATACGCCAGCTCAGTAATATTTACCTGAAAATTGAAAATATATTTTTTGTATACCAAAAAAAATATTAACAATACAATAGGCTTTTATGTTCTAAATACTTTACGCGTATACGAGTAGTAATTAAATTGATAAATGAGAAACTCCTATCCGTGATACCATAGAGCAATAATTAACAGGAAAACTCGTTAAATTCTAGTTTATTGTGCGGGTCGTGTTTGATTGCCGCAGGAATATGCATAGTGTTTAAGACAAAGCACCAGGTTCATTTTATTAATTATCTAAAGCTCGAACAAACTTTGCACAACAAGTAAAGTTAGTACAACATTAATAAACTGTTAGCGCTTGATACTTGTCATTCACTCTAATATTCTTATTTCACACCAAGAGAATAAAAAAAATTGGTTTTGGAATTGAATAATAGAGTTGGAAAACTCAATTTTACTGTTTATACAGAAAGGTAGTTTATCCACTTCTTCAAATAAAGGACGCTGCTATTTAAAACGTGAGGACCTCATAAAATAGATTTACTTTTTAGATGTTTTTAGGTTTTATCGATACGTTGAAGTACTTGTTAAAGTTAAACATACTCCTCTCGCAGCTGCGAATTTTGATGTGGACCTTTTCACATCGTGCCACTCCATAATTAAATATAAAAGAAGTTTTCGTTCTTTTACCGCACCCCAAGGCACTGAAAAGGATCCGCTTTATTCTGCAGCTATTGAATATCAATGGATCATAAAAAGTGCATTAGGATTCCTTGGGTTCAGGAAGGTTTTCTCACTTTTTGCGTAAACACACTTTTAAATATACCGGCGGGTTCTGTGATAAATTATTCACTATATCTTTACGCACGGGATGAAAATCAAATTTCGCAGATTTAAAAAGTTTACTGCTACGGTAAATAATAAAACTTTTACGCCGTGTATTAAATTTAATAAAACGGAAGATATAATTTAGACGTGTTGAAGGTGTTTCCGTATAATTGTTACGCTTGTAGAGAAGTTGCGTGAAAGTTTGTATCACTAAACTTGTTGTTATTGTTCTTCTTTGTAGTTAAATGTTAGATATTAATTAAACGCTTGCAGCAGATACCGGCTGCATCCTGTTTGTTCGCCTTTTGCTACGCTTTAAAGATTGGTGTGGCCTTAATGTGATTAAAATTTACAAAAGCGCAATTTCGGCCGGAAAATGCACCCGTCTTCCGAGCTTAACGAACAATAACGATTGCAATTAAGTTTAAAAACGTTTAATTATCGCAAGCATCTTGCGCTTGCTAATATACGCCGCTGGAAATTAATTAAATACGCAAAATGTATTTATACACCGTAAATTAGCGTCTGCATCAAAGAATATGGCAATCACGTCAAGTGCGCTTCAATGACATTGAGTGCTTTCATCCACCTACACGTATATGCACATACGCATTGATTAACGTGATGCAGATCGTAATTGCAATCGCGGCCCGATTAAGGAACGATAGAAAAGTTACCAGCGCTTGTCGATTGAGGGCGCGCGCGCGCACACACTGTGTTATCCAACATGCTGGGCCGTGGGTAACTTCAGTTGCATACTCTGTTATTTGCGCCACGTTAATAACGTTGATGCAATCGAGTGATGGCCCACTAACTGAGAGCGAATTATAAACCGGGCGCAGTTCTCGAATTACACATGCGTGTAATTGCAGGCGTCTGGTTAGTTTAGCCGCTGTTTACCATGCTGCGCACAGTAATCCACAAAACATAATTGCGTGTTCGCTGTACGTATCGCTGATTTGTAAACAGCGACGCGACGCATTTACCAAACGGAATGCGGTTGCCCAAATCTAATTTGTCGAAATAAATTATTTGAGGTATGTGGATTGAAGCAGTGTCGGAAAAATTATTCACAATCCATCATTCTCGGCGGGCTTTTCATTTATCTTTGTTGAATTTTGAATGATGTCATCTGGCACTCGATTTAAAACTACTTGACGTCATCATAATCTTTCATCCCGTCAAACTTTTCACATATTATTTTTTATTTGAATATAAGTAGGGATAAGCGAAATTTTCAAGGATGTAAAAAAATGTTATTAATCTTTTTTACGTGCACCTCTAACCAGGTGCACTCTTCTTTATCTGCTACATGCTGCTACTGTAATTTACAGTTTCTCTCAAGTAAAATTCATTTGTTAATTGATGAAAATTTAAGACAGTTTGCACCTGGTGATAGTATGTTGTGTCGTAAAGTTTTTCTCGTTGGTGTTTTATCGGTTTTACGTGTAGGAAATATTCGTGATAACGCAGGTGTTAGTTTCGTACCGATCGGTATAAAGCCTTCGGCACCTAGACGTGTCTTTACGACCGCCATGAATTTCTCCGTCGGCGGGTGTTAAGTGCACTATGAACGGCGAGAGGATTCGTATTCACAACTTGTTTGCGTATTATCCTGCTCGGTGCATCTTCATTAACTCAGATTTATTGCGTTTTTTATACGTTTTGTAATCTTTAATTTAACATGCTGGTAATAGTTGTTCTCTTAGATTTTGGGAAAAGTAGTGGAGAGAATTTTAATGCCGTAATTTGAACTTTCGCGCTATCACCGTACGCGTAAATTGCGATAATGCATGTTCAAGTAATGCACTACGTGATTTCACCAATTATGCGACTAACGTTATTTCTACTTTCTTCTGATAGCTTGTTAATATCTTCGAAAAATATTACGCGTTGTTTTAGTTTTTTTTGCATCTAGGATAATAATCTTTCCCTAATTAATTCAGAAATAGCGTGAAATTATTCCATGTCTCGCTGAAATGATCCTTATATAATCATGTTAATTATTCTTCCCGCTGCCGCGCCGCCCGAAAATTATAATTTGCAAAGTTTCACACTTGAAAATGACTGTAATTTTCCATGCTCATCGTGAGTCCTGCTGCTTTGCATAGCTTCGTAGGACGTCTCAATACGACCCAGCCGGCTGAAGCCTCACTTGACGCTCGATGAGTTTCGAACATCGAGCAATCATGAATTCAGTTAGTTCAAACACACTTCAATTAGAACAATTGTTATAAAGTCAAATGGGCATTGCTGAAATTAGTAGGGCGACGCGCAAATTCGATTATGAAAATGTTAGGTCACCTCGCCCGCTATTTTATAAATACACTGGTCACGTTCATGCAATTAAAACTACTCGGACGCGACAGAATTAACTAAAAAGACGTTATGACATTAATAATAACGTAATAAATGAGGACGGCATGAAGCGAACGCTACAGTGGGAGGACTAATGCAGATTCATGGAATTAGGGATTAACTGTGGATCAGAAGGTTAGTTAATCCTATTTTAAAACGGGATTGCTTTAACGTCAACCCCGAGTCACGCGTTGGTGTCGAGCGCACTCCTGAGTCTCGCGATTAATTTCAATATAATCAGCAAAGCGGCATAAAGCTGATGCGAACCGTTTGTTTTGGATCTTCCTGTGTTTTCATGTTTATGAAAATTGTGCATTGGTGCGCACTAGCAATCAGCACGATTCACATTTTCTACTATACGCACTGAATTTAATTCAGTTTTCACTTTACTCTAGTCGATTTATTTTTCTTTCTCTACATTTCATTCAAGATGTGTGATTGCCGACATGAAATGATTACTATACTCGGGAAACAAGTATTACTTCAGGGTAAAAAAAGGCACTTATCAAATCAACGTTGTAGAAAATTTAGACACATCACAAGTTTCACTTTACACACATTGCGATAAGAAAAGATTTATGAGTTATTTTTCAGTTGTGTAGAAAAACTGCTGCCAACATTAATGTTACGAAGGCATTGAAAGAAATTCGATTAATTACATTTCCATCATCCCGGCCGTTGCGAGTATACCAGCGAGGGGGCAAACAATAACGACTCCGACGAGTCGAACGTTTAAGAAGAATGCGAGATGGGATTGCGCATTTTTCTCAAGGAGCACTCGACCGCCTTCGCGTAGTGCTGCGTCGTAAAAAGGCGAGGGAATCGCGTGAATTTCCCTCGAGGCTCACGCACCGATTCGACGCTAAATGCGCGATGCAAGACATTTACAACGCAACTGGAGACGTTGTCGATGCATTTTAAATTAGATTGGCGTTTATTGGCGCTTTTATAATTAAGCTTCGCGTAATTGAAAAACTAATTTGGAAATGAAAAAAAATATTTTCTTTTTTGTCGCGTATTGAGTTACAATAATTAAAAGATTAATTAGTTTTTATAGCATCGTTAAATTAAAACGCCAGAATGATTGCAGAATGAAGCTAGTCCTATTCGTAGTACCACATCATAATTTGCTTTGTTCGCTTTTAGTTCATCCGGGCTCTAAATGAATGAAAAGTTTTCCGGCGAGACTCTTCCACTAACCATGTAAATGAGCGGCCGCTTCTAAAGGAGGCCTACTACTTGGAGCAACGTTAAATTGTTGAAAACTATTTGGGGTTGTGGAAACATTTAAAAAGGGGTCGCATAGTCTGCGTACTTGCGCAATACCAGCGCCTGGGTTTTGGGTATTGCATTGAGATGTAAGTGGTTGCGGTTTTTGGATGTCGCGGAGCTTTCATCAGCAAACTTAGACATAGACACAAAGTTAAAATCTAAACTTAATATACTGGTTGACCAAATACTTAAGAAGTTTTGTTGTAGACCTGCGTTAACACCTTCATATTAAAAACTAAATATGCTCGATTTTCTGTTTTCCTCTGCTTAAATTCAATTTTTAAACAAAGCTTTTGACGTTGCTGTGTTTATGGCATCCATTTGTAAAGCTCTGTGTGACTGCGTGACTGAACCACCAACGCCCCTACGTTTGACTAAAGAATCGATGCGGTAAATTCGTTTGATTATTGAGAGTTCATACGAAAGACCTTTTTTTTTGTTTTATGCAATTTTTCCATTTCTGTTATGCGTCATACGTGCACACTGTGAGAAAAAAAGCACAAAAGAACTTATGGAAGATGAACAGAGAGGTTTGATATTCGTGTGTGCGACAATATTGAGCCTTGAGCCTCACGTCCAGTGTATACGACGGCTTGGAATATCGTATTGTGAAAATGAGAAATGAGTTGCGATCGGTTTGTATACCACCGTGGGTGTCGCAGTGAAAAACGATAAAATGCGTTGTTTAACTTTGAATGGCACGCAGAGTTTGTAATGCACCATATATATGACAGTGCGTATTCGTTTACGGCTTAAAAAGATGCGTAGTCCTTGAAACTTGGCACAAAAAGAACAGTTCGCAGATTTTTTGGCATTTTTTCCTACTCCCACAACGACAAAGAAAAATACCTTGCAATAAAAAGAGTGGGGAGTCAGTGTGACAGTGGCCTTTTAATCCGGAAAAAACGCACATATCCGCAGTGCGTGCCGGCAAAAAGGGCGGCAATAACAAATCGTTACTATTTATTTAGGCTTTTAGAAGAGCGAAAGTAAAAAATGTGCGTCTCCGAGGCACGCGCGCGTTTTGAGAACAAAAAGAACCATTCGAACTAATGCATCGGGGCTTTGTTCTCCATTACCTAGATGTTTTAGAACTCGAGCATCAACGCGATGTTTTTTTTCCTGCTTTCACCGACACTGCCAGATAAACTGCTCTTGAAACAGAGCAAATTAATAATACACGCATGCATTATAATATTCAGCGTTTTCATTAAACTTTATAAAATTCTGGGAATGTAAACAACAAAACTAATGGTCATGTTATATTATAAACTTTAATTGCAGACAAATTATTGTGAGCTGTGCATGTTCATAATAAATTTCAATGCGAATCAAGCTTTTATTATCAGCGCAATGAGTTATATTTTGCTCAACATTGCAAAAGTTACATTTCTGCGTAATTTAAACACGTCTATGCTTTTAAAATCATGAACCAAAAACTTTTGAGAATTATATATTTATTATTCAAGCATTACTTAACATTAATTTTAATTAAAAATTATTTTTCTCTGTTTCAGATATCAACCATTCGAAAATTAAACGAAATGGATATTCATGATAATTTAACTGAAAATGGCACCGGAATGGCGATGCTTTGTGCTCCTGAAAATCCCACGTTGGTATTCCAGGAAGTTCTTTATGCCATTGTATGTCTCGTCGGACTTGTCGGAAACACACTCGTCATCTATGTCGTCGTGCGTTTCTCGAAAATGCAAACGGTAACCAACATGTACATTGTAAATTTGGCCATCGCGGACGAATGCTTTCTGATAGGCATCCCTTTTCTGATGGTGACTATAATGAAGAAGTCATGGATCTTCGGTGAGATACCCTGTAAAGCGTACCTCATTCTGACAAGTATAAACCAGTTTACGAGCAGTTTGTTCCTCTTCATCATGAGCGCTGACCGCTACATTGCGGTTTGTCATCCAATCTCTTCGCCAAAGTTCCGAACGCCATTTATATCACGCATAGTTTCAATGGCGGCATGGCTCTGCAGTATTGTGCTTATGATACCCATTTTGATTCACTCTAATGAGTATCAGTCGCCTTGTATTGATGGTGTTACAATGGAGAATATCACTAAAGTGTCCTGTGGTATCAACTGGGGCCACAGTTCACAGCTACTATCTTCTCCGTTTGCTTACACTCTCTATACATTTGTTTTTAGTTTTGCTATTCCTTTGAGTCTTATTTTGGTGTTTTATTGTTTGGTTATTAAAAAATTGAAAACTGTAGGCCCGCAGAATAAGTCCAAGGAGAAGAAACGCTCACATCGTAAAGTTACAAATTTAGTACTTACAGTCGTCACTGTGTATGTTTGTTGTTGGACGCCATATTGGATCACACAGATTGCGCTTATTACCGACGAGCATCAGGATGAAGGGTCCAACTTTGTCGTGACGATTCACCTGCTCGCCTCGTGTCTGAGTTATTCTAACTCAGCGATGAATCCTATTCTCTACGCCTTCTTAAGCGATAACTTCAAGAAGAGTTTCCTGAAGGCGTGCACTTGTGCGGCGGGCAAGGATATCAACGCAACACTCCATCTGGAGAATAGTGTATTCCCTAGGAAGAACAAGCAAGGTTCGACTAAATTCCGCACAGCACGCGGAACCTCAATCTGTCCCAACAACGAGGACGAATGCGATCTCGGGCCGTTAGTGAGCAAAGGAGATCCTTCCACGTCCGCCATCACAATGACATCTAGGTCGATCAACTTGAATTCCTCGGATAACAATCGAGATTCGACTACGAAAGACACAGTCGTCAAAAATGGACTGGCGATCACATTCAGCGCCAACTTATAAACATATTTTGAAATAGATTAAAAACAATGTTGGGAGAAGAACATTTTCTGCACGGATCAATTGTTGTTCGAATGCTGATGAAACTGTGATGAACTCTATAAATGAACAAAAGTCTCATTTTGTTTGTGATTTGTGAATTTACATTTTGAGAAAGAGCAAATGGAACAAGTTGCCATTTTTACGACGAAGAACATGTTTATTTTGTTTCAAATCTTATGCATGATACATTAATATTAATATTATTATAAAATGATTAAAATAACGTTGCAGGGTAAAACAAAAACATTAACACATAATAATATAGCTAAGAATATAAAGTTGCATGAAATTTGCCCGATTTATCTGCATATCTCCTTAATTACAAGTTATATAAGCAAACGTATATACCACAAATACCATATTACAGTACTAACATGAATAACAAAAAACGAAGAAATGTGTCTTTAGTGTATAAACATAATCCAGTGTTTTCGATGTATATGAATGACGATTGAAGATGTTAAACCGATGTGAAAACTGAGATGGACTAAGAAGTAATGACAGGGTCGCGGCACAAATGTCGAATGTGTTCCATTTTTGAGCCCAATGGAACCACTTCGACAAAAAGCAAAGTTTGCAAATTATGTAATTGTGCAGAGCCATAGCAAATGATGATTATTTGCTATGGTTGTGTATCAAAACTAAGAACTGAGGAGATTGCACACGAGAACGAATTTGTGACGATATGAAGGGTATTGGGAGTGTGATGTAATTTATTTTTGGAAACTAAATGGTGGCTGTTTCATGTGGTTTAATGTGTTTATGTACATATTTTTACTATCGATGGTAACTATTAACGTAGTATTTTTAGTATTAAGCATCTGTGATATTAACATTAATAATATCGTAATTTTAGTAATACATTAATAAATGTTTGTATTGAAGTAAACTGTAAGGTGGACAGAACAATTTTGAAGTGATTATATTACATTGTATATGATATGAAAATGTTAGGGAATTTATTTTGTAATATAACGAATTTCATCAGAGCTGCTTCTGGCCGAAAGCACCATAAATAATACTCGTTATGAATTGTGACCAGTTAATATCTACTTTGAAAAATTTAAAATTCATTGTATTTAGAATAAATGTATACAATATATTTCATGTACACCTATACTAGTGTTTTAATGCTTACTTATCTTATTGTGTGCATTATTTGTTCATCTCTGGCATCTTCAACTGCACCATAACAATAATATAAGTGGTAGTTAGATTGAGAAAAGTAAAAATCATCTTATGATCCAGATCAAAGAAGCCCCAGGCTGTAAAACGCGGACATCTATTAGCAGCTTGTTGAGTAAGAAGATACATCTTATTTTTTATGATGTCATCGTAGTAATGTTCATAACGTTGGAGGATATTGTAGGCCAATTTGACTGTGCGCTTGCCTTCATTGCTTATGCGTTCACAAAGATGTGCGTGAAGTATTCCTACACCCTACAACAATTTATTTTTTAAATTTATTTACAGAAATGTTTTATTCCACTTACACAAACATGAAACGTCCAAGCAAACAACATTACAGTCAAATCTCCAGAGCCAGATTTTCCTAACAGATAATTTAACACAGCTAGGATATTGAACATCTCATACAACTTTCCCAGCAAAGTTTCAAAACCAAATATGTCATTATATAAATCCACGGCATTATTTGCCAAATTATGTTCAGCAATAATTTTGAAAATACTACTTTTGCAAGGTACCACTCCAAGCAGATTTTCTAAATCGTTATTAATTTTTAACCATCGAGTATAAATTAAGGTAATCAATAATATTTTAGTAGAATACATAAGCGTAACACATTGTAATGAATATATTTCAAGTACAGATGGCAATAAATTCCAATTTAATTCTCGATTGCCAACTTCATAATTCATGTAAACAGAACACCCAAGAAGGACCAAAAAGAACAAGATGTTCAAGGCGAGTATCAAAGTGAAGAATTTATTTACTGGTAGTTTTGTGCCTATTAAAAGATATCTTATTTGAGTAAATTTGTGTGCACTATGCGTGTTATTGCACAACATCCACGAGATAATTATCATGTACATTATCCAGTCACTGAAGACTTTTAATTCGCTGTGATGAAAAGCTCGTTTTGCACGGATAAAATACAACGAAACAATTACTAGTGACGCGAAGATGATACTCAACAAAACTGCTTTTAGTTTACTTGATGTGAATTCATTTGTTTTCTCGTTGTAGTTTGGTATTAAACCAAAGTAATGAAGAATTTTTTTCAAAAGCCACATACTGTTCACCATTTTGTACACACGTCTCTTCTCGTCTGACTACTAATTCCATTAGTAACAAAATAACGGAATATGGTAATTCAGTAGATTATATTTGTTTGAAGTATTGTAATGTATTGGTTATCAATTAAGAAAAGTGAATCAATAGTTTAATTATGTTTTACGAGTATACTCTAATTGTAAGATGTTCATACATTAAATTGAAAGAGAGATAAACTTTCTTTCATTTCTATTATGATTGTTAGTTATGTTCTTTTGCATTGTTGATTTAAATTAAGTACATTGTATGGCAACGAGAGGACGCTGCGTATACGACGCTCACGCTTTTCGCGCAGTGTGCGCTAGTTGTACAGTATTGTGTGCATCGAGCCTATGTTCTGTGGTGTGTGTGAGTGTGTCGTCTGCGCGACAAACATAATTAAAGAGAAGTTTCCAGTAACTATTAATACACACCGATAACACAAATAATTCGAGTTAAAATTTCACCTATTCCTTAACAATGGCGTTGGCAATGCAAAGAAAAGCAAACGTAATATCAAATACGATATAATTGTGAGGATGGACAGCTCAACTAACCTAAAATAATTTTCGTTGTAGGTTCGTTTGCCTCCAGAGATAAACCGCATTTTGTACATCCGAAATCTACCGTACAAGATAACAGCTGAAGAAATGTACGATATATTTGGAAAGTATGGAGCCATCCGACAAATACGAGTAGGTAATACACCTGATACAAGGGGAACTGCATTTGTTGTTTATGAGGACATATTTGATGCCAAAAATGCTTGTGATCACCTCTCTGGCTTCAATGTGTGCAATAGATATTTAGTAGTTTTGTATTACCAAGCCAGTAAAGCATTCAAAAAGACTGATTTGGAAAAGAAACAGGAAGAAATTGATAAAATGAAGTCAAAGTATGGCATAAATATGGATGAGTAAAATTAAAATGTAAATTATAATTAAGTTTTATACTAAGATTATTTGTATTGAGAGTATTATTAATTCATAGGGAGACTGTGAAATGAAAAATGAAGCTGTAAAGTACATTTTCTGGTGATGTTAATCTATTTCCAAGTAACAGATAGAACTTTCTACATATTGTGCTAAGTTCAACAACTTTGTTGACAACCAGCCTGCAGGAAGTAAGATATAACAACTATAACTGATTGGTAAGCATCAATTTTCTGGGGTTTAAAGGAAGTAAAAATGGGTTAGTGTAGGATGAACAATCCTTTCATTTTATTGATTTACACTAAACACATAAATTTAAACATGAATAAATAACTTTTGAGTGTATGTGAAAATTTGTAAAATGGAAGTTTATGAAGGATAAAACTACAATTTCGTGAGAATCTTATTATTTACGTAGACCATTATTTGATGTTACAATCAATGTTTCTTCAGCAACAACTGTAATTTGTCAGATAAAATCAAGAATGGCAGATGCGCGCGTTATGCGAATTTTAAAACAACTGCTAAATTATCTCTAAATTGCGCCGGTTGAAACACAAATGATGACTCGTAAAATGGTTATTATAATCAAATAAACAATGTTAAAAAAATGTTAAAGATTAGGATGTGTTGGAAATGTAATCAATTTAAATTGGCTAGTACAAAGATTCGGCCGCGTTCGATGAGCGAGGTTTCTTGATCTTATCCAAGTTCTTCACGACGATATCATGCAGGGAGCAATATCGATTCCGCACCTCAGCCATCACTAGCCATAAGCCAAGGTATTCTTTTTGGTCCAATTCTTCCACAGCGCGTCGATAGTCGTCCAAGTGCGGGTACTTCGCCACTTTCGATACGAGTTTACCACGCGAGATGAAGTAACGGGAAATCTGGTCGAAGAACGCAGCTGCCTCTGCTTCCACAGACTGCACCTCTGCTAGTGTGTCCTCCTGGATTGAAACACCGAAGTTGTTGCCATCTTCAATTTTGGGTATCATGAAAGATATCCACATCTTCAGCTAAACACAAGGCAAGTATGATATTAGTGATTGTAAAGATCGTTAAAATGGAAAATTTACCAAGTTGGAATCTTCCATAAGTTTTCTAATTCGAGGTTTAACAATATCAATTAGTTCAACTAGATGCTTGTTGCTTGGCACAGATCCAGATGGTAAAAGCATGACTTTGGTGCCATCCTGAGATATGCTGTTGTCATACTTGACTTTCTTTTTGGGTGGCATGTCATCATCATCCTTCAATAGGATTGGATCAGGCACTGGTATGTTTAGATCATAGTACACTTCAGAGAAGTGCCTATTCTTAAAAGCTGGTGTCTCAAGCAGATCATTCAAGCTGACTATAGTTTCCGGAAACTCTTTCAATATCAAATTCTCAGCTTTACTTTTTAATGAATCCTTGTATTCTTGAACCTGCATAGAAATAAATAAAAATGCCATTAGTCATAGTGAAAGTGGGGGCAGCCAAACAAAATTCACTTTTTCATATCTAAGCTGAGCAGATGTACTAAGTTTCGTAATGGAAAAGTACGAAGGCAGGACATCCATGATATCGTCGAAGGTGTATTAAACGTGGTGCTTACAGAAGATTTAAATTATGCTTGACAAAACGCATAAAATTTCAATGACAACACAATGAAAGCATGGTGATGTTTAAGTTGACATGAAAGGTGACGGGCGCGGATTATGCGATACTGGCTGTCTTAATTTCCATTGAAACAATTTACCTTCTTGCTGATTTCTCCGGCCATAGTACACAAACTGATTACAAATAAACACTATTCAAATCGGAATTTTCGTACGCGTCTTACACTTAACCTAAAAGCGCTAACCGTAAATACTGTGCAAGTTGCGTGCAGGGTTCGATCTTCGCACACGGCGTCGGAAAATGCTCGGACCGAGAGTGGGGAATTTCTAATAGGAAGCAGGTTTGCCAACCAGACTGTTCAGTAGTCTGTTAATTAGATGGCGTGGAGGAAGTGGAAGAATACTAGTAAAACAATACCGAGACTTAGGTAATAGTTTGTTTTATAGTCCAAGGATTTAGGTAAATAACAATTAATTAAATGCATATGTTATGTATATTAAGAATTGCAAATCGAGATTAAGTGATCTTTAAATGGTCTCTTAAGTGAAATGACCAGCAGTATTTTATTCGAAGTGTTTGAATTTTATGGCGACAATACAAAGTTTGTAAATTATTTAATTTAACAATATATGTTTCTCAACAGATGAGGTTACAACCGCTCTTACACTAAATTGTAGGTATTAAAAGTCTCTATCGATTTATATATAATTTGTGGGTTTATCTCTTGGGAAACCTACAAAAATGCACTTTTTGTGTGTTTTGCTCCTCCAATTTTTGTGGTTTTAGGTGTCTAGCGGGCGAACGCAATGTCATAGGACAACCTTTCTTTCACTAAATTGTAGGTATTAAAATTCTCTATCGCTTTTGTATATAATTTGTTGGTTTATTCCTTGGGAAACCTAGGAAAATGCCATTTTTGTGTTTTTTGATCCTCTAATTTTTATGGTTTTAGGTGTCTAGAGGGCGAACCTTATGTTGTACAACAACCGTTTTTGCACCAAATTGTAGGTATTAAAATTCTCTATCGTTTTTGTATAGAATTTGTGGGCGTATCCCTTGGGAACCCTTTGAAAATGCCTTTTTTGTGTGTTTTGCTCCTCTAATTTTTGTGGTTTTAGGTGTCTAGCGGGCAAACGCAATGTCGTAGGACAACTGTTCCTACATTAAATTGTAGGTATTAAAATTCTCTATCGTTGTTGTATATAATTTGTGGCTTTATCACTTGAAAAACCTACGAAAATGCTCTTTTTGTGTTTTTTGATCCTTTAATTTTTGTGGTTTTAGATGTCTACCGGGCGAACGCGAGGTCATAGGACAACCCTTCTTACACTAAATTGTAGGTATTAATATTCTCTATCGTTTTTGTATATAACTTCTAGGATTATCTCTTGGGAAATCTAAGAAAATGCCCTTTTTCTGTTTTGCGCTTGCCTGATTTTAGGTGGCGAACGCAATGTCGTAGGGCAAGCGTTCTCTCACCAGATTGTAAATTTTAAAACTCTATCACTTTCATCTATAATTAGTGAGATTAGCGCGCGCAACCTACAAAAATAAAATAAAAGTACGGTAATTTAATTGCTTCAAATCACATACTTTCTATTATTTTCAGTAGATAATTTGGGTACCAAAATATTGGCAGTCGCGTTGTTCTTTTACTTATGAACATAGATTGTTGTCCCTCCAACTGTGGATCGGTTATCATTTCTCGTCCTTGTTTAGTCCGGCGTAGTCGTTCGTACGCCGTGGTGTGGTGTGCACGTGTTTTGTTCATTGATCAAACTTCGTGACAATTGTTTGCGTTACTAAAGATTTTAATTCTGTAATTGAACTAGAATAGGACGACATTTAGTAATAAAAGACCAGTGTGGTGGTTGTTTGTAGGAAGTGTGTGGTGGCCGTCGGATAAGTATGCACGCTGCTGTGTTTATCAATCGTGGATTAATTTTTGGTTGACCTGTGCGCGTTTTCGTTAGCAATCAATTATCGTTTCGCACATAAGAATAACTTGGATTTATAATTAATTCCTGCAAATGGACAACTTTGATGCTCAGACAAAAAGTTTGTGAGTGAACGAATGGGGTTTGCAATATTTATAGCTGACGATGCGTGTATTTTAAGGCAAGTTTTTACTACTCCCGAATTTACTAGCTGTCGATATTGTTTTATAAAAAAATGTATCTATTATTATTGTTGTCAATAAAACACAATGTAAAATTATAATCTCATGCATATTTCTTTGTGGTATCCTCTTTGTCGTTTTCAGTATTGACGTCTTAAGTCATATTGCGAATAAATCTTATGCGCGTGGAGCGAGTACAACATATGTGAGTTGTTGTTTTTAAAAAGTTGAATAATTTAAAAACATAAATACAAGAATCAAATATAAATAATAAAAACACTCGGTGGTCGAGTGGGTACGTGCACCTGCTAGCATGCTAGAAGACACGGATCGAACCTCAGGTATAGGAGGCATTTTTCTCAAATATAAAAATATCAGGCGCAATTTGGGTTGCATATATGAATTGCCACGAAATATAAGAGATATTGAAATGCAAGTGAAGGCAATAAGGAGAAGTAAGAAACTAAAAGGAGAACTGGAGAACAGAGAAATAGAAGAATGAGAGTAGAAGAGAATAAGAGAAGATAGAAGGAAGAGAACAGAGAGTAGAGAAGAGGAGGAGATAGAGGAAAGAGCCACAGAGTGGATCAGATTTTTAAATTTTTTGGCACGTGTCGTTATAGACAGTCACAGGTCGATCTCCCAGAGCGCCTCCGGCGCTCTGGTCGATCGCCCACTGCTTCGATGCCTCCATTGCTCCCGGCCCATCCTACAGCTACGATGTCTCTGCGCTTCATCCCCGAAATTATCAGGCATATCAACAATTTTTATGGTGGGGAATCACCCCCAGAGAGAGGGAACTCCTTATAAGGACAATCCTTATAAAGTCTTGTAAAAATATTTCTAAGTTTTAAGTCGCCTCAAGAGAGGTGACACTTAAAAATATTCTTACAAGTTCTGACCTGTAGCTGAAATGAAAGAAGGAGCATACAAATCACACAGGATACCTTGATAATTTTTATAGTGGGGATCATCCCCTGAGAGAGGGAACTCTCTTAGAGACCTGTTCCTGAAATGATAGAAGAGGTACACAAATCAAAGAAGTCAATATATTTTACTATTTCTTTATTAACAATGGAATACAAGTTTATATTTTACAAGTCAACAGAATACATGTCGCCATATTGAAACAGGACTTACGACCTGCATAGCCGCGCTCATGCCAGCAAGTACTACTTCATAAATTTCTACCGGAACAATGAAATTAGTAAATAGCTAATTTTCTAGGTGATTGAAAATGGAATTAAATATACAGGGTGTTACAAAAGGAAAATTTAAAGGTGCAAAAAAACTAATATACAGGGTGTTCCAAAGAGAAAATTTCATGTTCAAAACAGAGAACACTCAAAACTCACAACTAAAGGTGATTTTATACGTGCTGTTAGGAAAACTAATATACAGGGTGTTACAAAAAGAAAATTTTAGAAACTGAAAAGGGAGTCAATATTCACAATATGAAGAGGGAAATTTACAAATTAAAAACAATATTTTAATATAAAATCAGAGATTTTACCGGAAAAACATCGGAAAATTGAGAAAAAAGGTGCTACAAAAATAAAACACATTTTAATATATTGAGAATATATATTTCTTAATTGATGGTAGCATCAAGTGTATAAGGTAACCGACGGGTAAAGCATCATCATAAATTGATAAAATATCCGGCGGAAAACATCTAAATCAACAGACGGAAAGCGACGGCGCGTAGCAACACAGCGGTTAAAGATGATAAAAATAACTATTTCTTTGTAAATATTAAGATATACAGAGACTGCAAAAACGATAAACTATTCACCGTTCAAGATTTTATATCAACAAGAAATTATTAATTTAACTAGCGACCCGCCCCGGCTTCGCACGGTTGCAATACTGATACTAAATACACTACAGAAAAACTGTGAACGTTGTATATAAAAACATAGCGGCCCGCTACGGCTTCGCACGGGTTTAAAATATATAGCCTATGTGATTAAAATCGATCCAGTAGTTTTGATTTATTCATTACTGCCCGTGGCCCGCACGCGTTAAATTTGGAGTAAAACTATCCACCTTTCCCTATACCATGAAGATTTCCTGCTGTCTTTGGAATATCTTCGCTGCTAAATTCAAAGTGCTACAGGAAAACCGCGGCCTCAGACGCGCTATTTATAGGCACGCTCTTGCCGCACCGGGCGGCCGGCCGGCACCGCCGAAAACGCTACGTCCGCAATTTTAAAAAAATCCGTTGCGCAGTTTCAAAGATTTAAGCATACAAAGGGACAGACAGAGAAAGCGACTTTCCTTCTCCAAACAAAAACATCTACCGGTCAACTTCAACCCACACGTACACACATACACACGTCTATGCTTGGAGGGGGAAGCTACGAAGCATCGCACAAAGAGCAGACGTGAATAATCGAAAACTTTGTATTTACGATATCACATTAGAAACCTCAAAAATAACAGTACTTCTCCACTATTTAATGGATGTTATTATACATACAAACCTTCCTCTTGAATTACTCTATCTATTAAAAAAAACCGCATCAAAATCCGTTGCGTAGTTTCAAAGATTTAAGCTCACAAAGGGACCGGAAAAAAAAGCGACTTTACTTTATACTATGTAGTGATGATGCAATACGGTTAAAATTGTTTACGTGATCATCGAAAACATGACCGAACCGACGGCCGAGGGCAAAGTAAGCGTGGCCGACCACATGAATATTGTCATATTAATAATCCTCAGATAATTTTAAAAACCGTGCTTGTAATAATTAAATCAAGCATGTTATTTTCGGAAACGCGACTAAGAAGAATTCTGATGAAAAATGCCACCACGTGTTTGTAATATAAAAAATTAATATCCCTCGAATTGAATAATCAATTTAAGTTAAACCACCTTAACTTTACGCGAAAAATTTTAATTATCCACCTACCTGTGCATTAATGAGGAGATTTTCTATCCTGTAATATATTCAATCAAGTGAAAACTCGCGCAAGGACTAACGGAC